TTGTCATTGTCGTCCATGACCACCACGCGCACCAGCGCCTCGCTGCTCAGTGCGGGGGAGCCCGCGTCCGTGGCGCCCACGCGGAACTCGAAGGCTCGCAGGGCCTCGTAGTCCAGCGACCTCACCGCGAACAGGTGGCCATTGTCCGCGTTGATGGACACCAGGGAGGCCAGGGCCAGGTGTGGGTCGTGGGGAGGCAGCAGCGAGTAGGTGACCTGGGCGTTGGCTCCTGAGTCTCTGTCTGTGGCGCTGATGGTGCCCATGTGCAGGGCGGGGCTGTTGTTCTCGCGGATGAACAGGGTGTAGGAGGCTTGAGAGAAGGCGGGCGCGTTGTCATTCACGTCGGAGACCAGCACGGTTATCTTGTGCTCGGTTTTCAGCCTGGGGGTGCCCAAGTCGGTAACGGTGATGGTGATGTTGTACTCAGCTTTGCTCTCTCTGTCCAGTGGCTTTTCTGTCACTAACATGTAAAAGTTCTTGAATGTGGGTTTCAGGAGAAACGGAATGTCGTCCTGGATGGAACAAATCATCCTTCCATTGTCCCCAGAATCTGAATCTGAAACACTGAAAACAGCTACGACGGTTTCCGGTGCGTTTTCTGGAGTGGGACTGGTGAGCGTTGACATGGTCAGTTCAGGGGCGTTGTCGTTCACATCTAGCACCTCTATAGCTACAGTGCATTTTCCTGAAAGCCCTCCACCATCTGTGGCTACGATTTCCACGTTATAATATCGAGTTGTCTCAAAATCCAATATCCTTTGCAGACGAATTTCTCCTGTAATGGCATCTATTACAAATGGTTGTGCAGCTTCATCACCTTGGAAGAGGGTGTAGGTTACACTCCCATATATTCCTGAGTCTAAATCTTGGGAGGAGACAGTGACAACTAAGGATTTAAGTGGGCTGTCTTCTGGGATTTGTACTTTATAGAGTGACTGTAAAAACTCTGGAGCGTTGTCGTTGGTATCCACGACTTCAATGCGAATTGTAGTGGTCCCGGACCTGGATGGTACTCCACCATCCAGAGCTATGAGGGTTAAACTAAGTTCAGGTTGCTCCTCTCGATCCAGAGCTTTGTCCAGCACCAGCTCTGGGTATTTTCTGCCATCTTCGCGGTTATGTGTGAGAACATGAAAATGGGCGTTGGGGAGAATTGTGTAGTTCTGAACAGTGTTGCTTCCTATGTCAGAGTCTTGAGCTGTTTTCAAAGGAAACACTGTCCCTGGCTGGACGCTCTCTGGGATTTTTAGGAGCATTTCACTCTCCAGGAACTCTGGGGAATGGTCATTTACATCTCTGAGCTGCAGTTCAACTTGAACAAACTGCACTGGGTTTTCTAATAATACTTGAAAGTTCAGTACACACGATTCTGTCGCCCCGCATAGCACCTCCCGGTCTAATTTTTCATTAAGAAGCAAATCCCCGCTCCTTACATCGAGCTGCAAGAGCGGTTTGCTCCCTTTGTAATGGATTCTGGCGCCCCGAGTGGCCAGTTCCCCCACCCTGAGACCCAGGTCTTTTGCCAGGTTGGCCACAAAGGAGCCACTTATTATTTCTTCTGGCATGGAATACTTGATTGTCTCAGCGTCAGCCTCGCACAAAACCAACAATATAGCAAGAAAGACAACTTGCCTTTTCTGGTGCGTTTTTGCAAGCGCAGTCTCCATTGTCCAGTCCCGGTTCAGAAGATCAGTTTTTCCAGCTTGGTAAACACTCCTTAGTTAAATAAACTCCACTTAGATAGTTCTGATTCTGATTTGCACTGGTATGCCCTCTCTTAAGGTCTTTGTCTATAGACCTTACTAAAATGCTTTCTTCTTTTACCGAGCACTCAGAGTTCTGGTTCCCAGCGTAATGGCTTCCGGGGTATCCTGTCTATTATTCTCACTCTTAGTCTGCAGCGCCACCAAGTGTCCTTTTTTACTATTTCACTTTGTATTTGCAATTAAGCCTGCTAGATTAAGAAAATTCTTTTGAGCTAACCATAATATTTCCAGCTCTTAGTTGTTGGAAGACCTAAATAACTATTTGTTGAATGAATTTTCAAGGAAAGAATAGTATTGAGAACAAACTAAAATGATGTGTTAGTGTTCTCTATAGAAGTGCCTTCAGAGTACATGAAGAAGTTATGGGTTTTTTTTTTGGGGGGGTTGTTCCTATTTGATTTTAGGTGAGAAATAAACAATAATGGATGCATAAAAACATCAGATTTTTACAAAAACATTTTATTTTTCAAGTTTAACATATATGCAGGAAAAAGTAACTGCATAACTCAATGCATTTTCACCAAGTGAACTTACTTATACAGGCAGAACCTGTGTAAAAACCCAAAACCCTCCTCTTGCTGTTGTTTGACCACTACCTCCTCCACACCAAAGAGATTTATAGATGATGATAGTCTCCAAAGGGAGAGGGGGAACTTTTAAATAAATTGAAGTCTAGAATATTTACCTTTTTTTGCATTGTTTTTCATCCTGCATTGTTTGTAAAATCCATCTATTGCATGTTGTTCTAATTAGCTTTCATCTCATTGGCTTACAGTATTCTAAGGAGCTCTGTGGCACAGTGCACAAAGCATTAGGCTGCTAACTGCTAACTGAAAAGTCTGAAGTTGGAATCCACTAGCCACTCTGGTGGAGAAAGATGGGGAGAGGTTCCTCCTGTCAAGAGTTACAGCCTCAGAATCCCGATGGGAGTAGGTGACTGGAGCACTGATTAGTTTGATTAAATGGCATTTGCTCATTTTGTCTTCTTGCAAGTTGTTTTTGAAAAAAGTATTTCACTCTTAACAGAAAAGTTGACAGGTTGCCCAACTGGAGAAAGTTAAATCTATAAAGACTTAACTCTAACTCAACTTAATGCTATAGAGGTGGAACTTGCTCATAGCTGACTTTCCAATGGGTTTGCAAAGGTTGTAAATGCCAGGAGAGAGTACTTCCATTTCTCCCATGGAGCACCTGGTGGACTCAAACTGTGGTTGGTACCTTTGAGTTGGCAGTGCTACTCTTTATCCGCTTGGCAACTGTATGGTACCGTTTTACTGTCTGATACTGATACTGTTACCGATGAGGTAGGATGAATTTTTTTTCACATAAATATCCAAATTACCTGCTGCTGTACATTGAAAGGAGCACTCATTCCCCATTATTTCCTTCCTTCCTTCCTTCCTTCCGACATTGTTATCTTCTCGATGAACCACAGCATCATATATTTAAAGAATTTGATTCCATTTTTTCTTTGTCTATCTGCTTCCTAAACAACATGCCTCTGGAAACTCAATGAACTTTGATAAATGATGTTACAGAAAAGCTTCAGGCTTTTTGTTCATAGGGTCACTACGAGTCGTGCTCAACTCGAAGGCAATCAACAACATCTCATAATTGCATATTGTCCTCAGTTCTCTAGCTTTAAAATAGGTTGTAATATATAATCCCTCAGGTTTCCCCCCTTCATTTGTTATTATTGTTCCATTGCATGTCCATATGTGTGTGTTAAACACAAATTGTTGGGTTTTACAATGAAATCTGCTGACATATTACCAACATTCATTCTTCAAATAGTGAATATTGTATATCCTTCTATTTAATCAGACCTTTAATTTTTCTTAAGAATGTGTTATAGTTTCCAATGTAGAGGTCTAGTACAATTTTTATTATTTGTTCTTAGGTATTTGATGTTTTGGAAGCTATGATGTTTTAATTAAAAATTTCTGCTACTGCTATATAATAAAAAATAAAATTTAAATGTGTATGTTTACTTTGTATCTCGTGGCATTATTAACTTCATTTATTCATTTCAGTGTATTTTAGATTTTCCATTACATACATATAATGCTGTCTGGGGACCTCTGGTGTCTTAGTTCACAGTGACTTGCACTGCTAACCCAAAGGCTGGGTGAGTGTCTCTGGTGGTTGAATCCACCAATAGCTTCTAGAAGGATGCGCAATCTCTTCCAATTAAGATTTGCAGTCTTTGAAATGGATTCCATAGACAATGGGTTTGAGTGATGTTTACTATAACTTTCTAAAGATCCTTTGTAGGTTCCTTTCTATTTCGGTCTGATAACTATTCTGAGCAATTGTTAACACAAGGTCTTAAATCTCCTGCTGTTCTAATCCACAAGTAACTCTATAGGAGATAAATAAACATCTCCTCCCATTCAGCTTCTGAGACATGATGTGGCAGGATTGGGGGATGGGGTTTCTGGTTGCAGAGTTCCTAAAGAGCTGCCTGCAAACCCAAAGGACCGCACCTGCTGGAATCCAGTGGTAGCTCCAAGGGAAAAAGATAAGCAGTCTTCTCCCATCAGGACTTACATCCTCAGTAACCTGGTGTAGAGTTGCTCTGAGTCAGAATCAACTCGATAACAGTGAGATGTTTGTTTTCAAGCAATTTAATCAGTAACATGTATTGGATTTAGTCTAATGACTTCTGAATCCATTAGGACAATATCTCTTTTCTCCTTTAATAATATCAGTGACAGTGGTTGATTTTCAAATTCTAAACCACATTTGCTATCCTATACAAAACTAATTTTCTCATTATTTTTTAAATATAGCTGTCCATTTTACTTGATATTTTGAATTTTCTCATTGATGTATAAAAGATATAACTAATTTTCTCATTATTTTTTAAATATAGCTGTCCATTTTACTTGATATTTTGAATTTTCTCATTGATGTATAAAAGATATTAGTCTGTAATTTCCCTTTTGAAATATAATACTCTATTCAGATTTGAATGCAAAGTTATGCTGATACTAAAGGACTTCGAAAATACTTTCTCTTTTTTCTGTTCTTGGAAATGGTGTTGTTGTTGTTGTTATGTGCCGTCAAGTCACTTGCGACTCATAGCGACCCCTATGTACAACAGCCCTAAACCCTGCTCTGTCCTGTGCCAATCGCACTGTCTCTTACACACCCATCTCGATTACCCCAGTCACTGAATCAATCCACCTCATAGAGGGTCTTCCCCTCCTGCGCTGTCCCTCCATTCTCTGAAGCATGATGTCCTCTCCAAGGACTGGTCCCTCCTTACAACATGTCCAAAGTATGTTAGCCTCAGAATCCTTGCCTCCAAGGAGCAGCCCAGTTTAACCCTTTCCAGGATGAATGTTTCTTTTCCTAGCAGTCCATGGTACCCTCAATACTCTTCTCCAGCACCACAGCTCAAAGGCATCATCAATTCTCCTTCTATCCTCCTTAGTCACTGTCCAACTCTCAGATGCATAACAAGTGATTGCAAAGACAATGTCCTGTATCAGACACACGTTAGTCTCCAGAGAGACACCATTGCTCTTCAGTACTTTGGAGAAGTCCCTAACAGCAGACTTTCCCATGGCAATACGTCTTTTAATTTCCTGGCTACTGGTGCCAAGAGTGTTGACTGTGAAGCCAAGCAAACTAAAACTGTGAACAATCTCAATCTCTTCACCATCCAT